CATGGTAGGAAACTAGATAAAAGAGTTTTCTTAATGCAGAGAATATCCAAAGCTAAAAATCACTCCTGATTTTATGGATTTACAACTTTAATGTGTCAACTCTTGTTTATCATTAATTACGTTTACCAAACGAAGTTCGGAAACACATTGTTTTTACTTTCTTTTTCAAACTTTCTTCTCCGGTACTTTTTTGTCCGCGAGTGTTCTCGAAAACTACTACCTTTTTAGGGTTAACATGCATGCACGTGCGTGCGCGTTCAATAAGTAAAATTACTGATATACTTAAGGAGGCTGGGTGGTCAACAAATTAACCACCAGATTTAACTTAATTTTTTAGATATGATATCTTAAGCTGTCAACTATCATTTGGCAAAGAAAAATTTCAAAAATTTTAGTTTTAAAATTTGATCATTTTCTATATCTTCATATGGAGCTCTTCTTCTAAAGGAGATCAATATAGTCTAAAAATGGCCACAACCCCCCCCCCCCAGCCTCTTTAATATAGCAGTAACTTTTACATTTTTTGTGAAATGCTGTAAAACTCAAAACATAAAGATATATTAGTAGTATAGACAAGATCACATAGTCAAATAAGCATGAACTCACGCACATGCACATGCGCTTTGCTCTGATTGGCTGAAATAAAACACTCAATGTTTTCCTTGATTTTTGACAAAATCCTTTGAAATTTAAGATATATGTATATATTATAAGGTTCTACAATATGTTATATATACAGAAATTCTTGAAAACACGTGCATGAAATGTATGGCGATAATGAACAGTATTCAAGCTCAAAAGTCCATTAAACAATACAAATTTTGGAGTAGAGCAATCACGGACCTATAAAACATCAGAGGTGGGATCAGGTGCCATGGAGAAGTGAGTATCCCCTGTCGACCGGTCACACCCGCTGTGTGCTCCTTGTCATGATCAGGTAATAATGGAAAAATCCGTCGACAATTCAATGTGTACACAATGACCTAACAATAAGTATGAAAAACGTCAGTCAACTTTTGACATAATGATAAATTGTATTTCATGACAAGGTCATTGTATCGAGCATAGAACTTATGAAATGATGACTTTAAACGAGAATGCTGACAGTTTTGTTTCATCAACTTGTTTGTCAATAATTTACCTCGTTTTAGAAATTGTTCATACGTAGAGCATGCTCTTGCGTATCGAATCAACTGAGAGATATAAACCCCTTATGCAGGTGATGAAGGTATATTGCTGCATAAGTAAGGGAAGTTGACGATTGAAAAGATAAAGTCATCACGTTTATTATAAAGCTGGTTGTTAGATTACCAATAACGTATTTTTCTAGTAAAATATCCAGATATGAAACAAATGTGTCAGTCTCTGTGGTATCTTTTATTTTAAGCTCACTTGGATATATCATATCGAAATATGAATGGAAATAACCATTGTTAATTGACAATACATTGTCGATATATCTAAATGTCGAGTTGAAGGCCACAGCAAGTGTTTTCTTCTTTTCATATACAAGATTTTGAACGAATTCTGCTTCATATGAATACAAAACATAGATATTGTCAATCAGAAACTCGAGCATCTTTTTAATATCAACTTCAGAGTACTTGTGTATACAATCAGAATGTTTTTTAGCAAAATACTTTTGCAAATCAACAATGACAAGGTAAGTAAATTTACGAGTTCCATTGTTATTGAAAAAGCAGCTGTCAATGATATTAAAAAGCCTGGACTTCAATTTGTCGTGGGGAATGGTTTTATATAAAGTTGAAAAGTCGTACGTTTTTATGTTGTTGATTTTGGTAAAATTTTGTGATTTCAAATTTTCCAAAAGTTCCTTGGAATTTTTAAGTATCCACATCTGATTTACACGACTTCTCGAATATATTGTTGCACAGTAATCCTGAAGTTTCTCCTTCACTACTGTTAATATTTTAGTGAGGAGTAAAAAAAAAAGGCTTGGTAGAACATTTACTGGAACCGCTATGTATTTTTGTTTGTAAGGATTTTTATGAAGTTTCGGAATCCAATATAGATATGGTAATTCAAATTCATGTTGGTTGTTTGGAATATTAAAAATATTCAAAACTGACATATGATTTTGAAGAATGTCCTCCTTAGAAAGGGAGCTATGGGTAGAAATTTGATCTTGTGACCAACCTGTATTTATATCCGGATAGATGTTTAAAAATGATACCTTATTTCTTAGAAAATACTTTTGAAAATAAGTTGTTAAAATTTACAATACAAAGGTTTTGCTTAATTTGTTGAAGTATATAGGGAATGGACCCCAAAGAGAGTAGGGGGAGTGTATGGGGAACATCTGTAACGGTCTCCGTTACAATTAGAACTAGTTTGTATCATTATCTGATTAAAGGCAAAAATATACACTAACTAGGGAACTTTGGGATTTTTGTTAGAAAGAAAGCAGATACATAAATTAATCTTTCCAAGGGCATCATACATTTATCCTTTAAAGATAAATACAGTTACTGAAAATAACGCTTATCACTATCTACGTTGAAATGCACAAATTACATCAAAAAGGGTTACTCACATTGTCTGTCGTCAAGACAACATCAATCGCAATGTGACCCAAACAAGATTTCCAAGGGCATTTCTGCAATGAAGATCCATGCCTTTGGGATCTAGGTTTTACACCAATCAATGTTACCACATTAAACATATTGTTACAAAATTATCCACTCTGGCAAATCAACTTTCACATTTGTTAACAATTGGTTTCTCGTTGAAATATGAGGGTCCTCGTGATGTAGTATCTTGTAAAAACATGGTTTCAGCATTAGAGCGTAAAGATGAAAACATGTAATTACATGTAGCAATACTGAACAAAGAAATTGACCTAGGTCGCATAATGGATCCATTGATGCTCCACCATTTCAAAACTTCATTGCAGCCCAGTAGGAGTTTTACTAAGATGGTTGGAGGTTAATTACCAATTTGTCTGCTCTACATGGAAAGAATATTAAAGCATTCATTAATCCTGAAAGGAGATGGGTGAACATGACGAGCGATAAGCCTATAGTGTGACAAACATCAAGATGAAAAATTAAATTTCAATTATATCAAAATTTTCCATGATATTTCGTCTTACATTAAAATATACTTTATGTAAAATCTCTACAATTTGTAAAAATCCCTCAAGAGTGAAATTATTTGCCTGTGAAATATTAGACAAACACCAAAGCGAGCAAAAAGAGTCATTTTCTCATGCTATAACACTATTTTTCGATATGAGTGGGTCTTCGCTCCACCTTTTTGAAAGTTAATCCTCAAAGTTTGCATTAAAATATACATTTTTTGGTTACCAAAAATATGGAGCAATGAACCACTTTACCTTAAAAATATACTTTTATGACATAACATTCGTATCTTTTCGAGAAATACTTGAAGTCCATTAAGTCAAGTGTCATATCACAAACATGATTTAAATGCCACTCTTCATCAGGACTTGTGTAGTCTAGTGGTTAGCGTGCTTGTCTCGAAAGAAAATGATACTCAGGGTTTTTATTGCTAGGGTTCGAACCCAACGAATACCACATTAATATTTTTTTAATAAAAGAATAAATTTTGCCGAGAAAATTGTCCTCAGAAAAGTTTTGTTTATCATAATTTCATGAATTTCAATAATGAGACAATAATAATTGTCAAAATTCACAAACTGAACATGATTTATATATATCTGAAGCTATAGGCTTTCTGCACGCTATGTTCGCCCATCTCCTTTTCTCACTTAAATATACATCTTTTGATCAAGTTGTTAGCATGGTAAGTATGTAAATATGCATTTCATTTTAAATATTGAAAATATTTCAAATTGCAGATGCGTTTTTCTAAAACAGATCAGTATGGAAATGGTTTAGTTACTACAATCAGAAAATCAGTAGAATCAACAGTATGTTTAATTTGTTAGAAACTTTCTTGCAATTCAGATCTCTGGAGGGTGGCCCTTTATTTTGTCATTTCAATACTAATCCATTATCAGCATACCAGTTTTTACGATGCAATGAGATTTTTAGGTATTGATTACATTTTAGATGTAAAATATGATATGATGCATGGTGACGTCAATGTCGGAATCTGAGGAAACTTATACCGGACTGTACATTTTAAGCCTGATTCAACTTAAAACTTTACAAGTAGTAATTAAACAACTGAATTGTTGATATTTGTGCAGCAATACCAGCAATCCTTGGAATATTTTGCTTCTAAATATACCTTGTTTCAGTTAAATAAAATTGAGCATGCCCTTGCGCCGAAGCATTTTTGTTAATGTCTTTTATAATCTTGTCTAGTAAAGAACAATGACGTCATGCGAGATATGACTTCATAATGTGTACTGGCTATCTCATGTCGTGGGTACCACGTATGTATTAGACAATAAGTTTCAATGTTCTCTGTGCAGTAGATATAGTCCTTAGGCATTTTAATTAGTTTATTTGCATAGAAATGCGTATACCTAGCCTTAACTCACTTTTGTAAGTACTAGTATCCTGACATCCGTGTTGTTCAAAATAAACTCTTTCTTAATGATGGAGTTCACTTATCTCCCTAAGGCAATCCTGTTTATATGTCAACAATGCAGGCTGCTCTTATATAAAGCAACATATCTAAAATACTTAGTATACAATTAGTCTGGTGTGAATGCTTTGATCCGCGACGGAGGTGTAATTACACTAGTGCTCATTTAATTGATGACAAAATTTAATTTCAGCCATTTTTTTTTTCATTTTAAACAAACTTTTCCAGTCATAAAACCATCCTTAGATGAATAAAAAGGTCAAAAAAGGGCAACACAGCTTCTTTTAAAAAACTTAAACTGTTCAAAAATAGTAGCAGGATGGAGACATGGTGTTCCATTGTATCACATAATTTTATGTTAATACGCTTTTTTATTTGACGCTTAATTTCAAGTGTCATGTATGAAAGCAGACACTAATCTTTCTTCCTTATTAAACACACAATAAAGAGCAAGCAGTGTGAAGATGGGAAGACTACTGAACTTTTGTTTTCTGCTCGTATTATTTTATCTGCGATTAGTTTCCTCTGAAGAAAGTGAGTAACAAATATCGTACTTTTTTTAAAATAAATGATAGATTCATGAGAATAATTACCAAATTCAAAACTTATCGAAAAGTCTTCAAATCGATTTTTCCATGATGCATATCATTAAAAGTATTAGTTCCAATTAATTACAGGTTAGGGAGCAACTAAATGAAACTAAATGATCAAGAAGTACCCTACATGTTGCATCAACAGTAGAGATAAAAACTCTCAATAATTTGACTTTGGCCTTTGAAACAAAATGGCGAAACTGTCTGGTCAATCGTCGTCTTTTTAGCAAATTTTGAATTGAAAGGTCAAATTTTGGTCCACACAACGTCTCATTAACACTGATGTGACAATGTAATTTTGACAATTCGACCTTCAAATATAAATAGACACATTAATTTGGTAAAATAATCATCTGAAGTACGTTTGAAATGTCAATTCGGAATTAACGTATTATTTTTACAAAGTTGGTAAGTTAAAAAGAAGTTTGAAATTAAAAAGTTAAACACAAAAGTTCTACGACACTGTTTGAGATGGAAGTTGCACACATACACTGGGGCGAGTTGTTTGTCCTAGAACACACTTTATATTGTATTATATACAAAAGGATGTAAAAATAAGCTTTTTAACGTAATCAACCCTTTTCCTGTAATAATACATGTACAATTGTTACAATGATCGTGTACAGCACAAATCGCTGCATGAAGCACGTCCAAACTGCTCAAATTTTTGCAGAAAATTGCGCTTGACGTCACGGGTTCTGATGATTATGTTTGGTCAATATCCAAAAACCCCAACGTGTGGATGCCACTAGTACCAAGGCAGAACCTAAAAGATGACCAAAATACCCAAATATCTAGAAACTAGCTTTATGTCACTTTGATAAATGGAATTATACTTGAGTGGTTACTCACATTTAATTTAGTTGCGAACATATAAAAGGCACACTTATTCTCTTAATGCTATTAATATGAATATTGGTCTGTTGGCTAGGAATTCATTCCAAAGACAAAAAAGTCAAGAAAAATAGCAAAAGAAGTAATGAAAAAAAAAACATATAAACAAATTGGTCGATATGATAACTCAGCTAGGATAAGGCTGTCCGTAAAATGTCACAGTGGACCAGCAGTATTAACTTCTCTTAACTATATACATGTAGTTATAACTCATAATAGCATATGACGTCAAGCTACTGCAAACTTGAACTGACATGATGGGGATTGTATCATAACTTGTACATTCTTTTTTATACGATATTTTACATTGATGTTGAATTTAGGTGCCTTGATTGTTGTCTTAAGCTTCATTGTGTTGTTTTGGTGGTGACCATTTGCAGAAATGTCGTGATTCCTTTCTTTTGTCTGATAAACAGCATATTCAAACTGCTCCCACTTTTGATGTTATTAGGGGTCTTGTTTGCTCTGCTCTCCATTTATATTATATGCGTTTCAGCATGATTTGTTCGTTATCTTCACATTGTAGATATGTCATTTATTCTCAGATGTTAGGTATTTAAAGGAGCATAATTCACTTTTGTACTATGATTTTAAATCAAGAACTGATAAAGAAAATCATGTATCTTCTAATAATCTACTTATGTACAAAGTTTTATTGAAATCGAACTAAAACTGTAGAAGGAGCATTTTTAAAAAAAATGTATACCCGTTGAATGATAGTTAAATTATTATAGCAGATAAAGCTGCATTCCTTTTACAGAGGATAAATTATCAGACAAAAAGCAGAGAACTGCGTACATGCTGAAGAAAATGAAGCTTAAAATGTCCAAATAGCAGATGCAGCCCGCTGACGGACAGGATTTAATAACAAACCAGGCTTTTAGAAATCATTATTCCAAACAAAGAATAAAACAAGAAGAAGCTTAAAACATGAAATTTTATCTGAAATAAGAAATTTCTCATGAACTCTTGACACGAGAACAAATAAGAAGAAATAAAATCATTAGGATCATCGCAAGTAGGTATATCAAATGTACGACAAAGCACTATATAGAGTATAACCAAAATGATTAAGAATAGCAATTGGCCTGACCCATTATCGTAGTTGAAGGTCAATGGAATCGAGACGGAGTAGAAAAATTCCATCTTGACTACCTGTGGTTTGGATTTCTGAAACAAAACGCTCTATTTCTGCAAGCGTCCAAAAATTAGGTTGATCCCAATCTGTTACCAAATTTTAAGCCTTCCATTTCATTTTAGACTGTCCATTCTAAAGATACCTGTCAAATCATTATGGAAATTTTATTTAGTCAGTTGATTTTTTATTTAGGGTAATGGAGAAACTATCATAACAGAAAATTAGCTAAATATGGTGTAAAGGCATATACAAGAAGTTACAAATGTCCTCAAAAAGATGGTTTTCCTGTTTAAATGTATTGTGTAGTTATACCCGCACTTTGTAAAGAAAGTTCGGATATATTGTTGTTACCCTGGTCCGTCCATCTGTCACACTTTTTACTAATCTAACTACTCCCACATTTTAAGCAGAATTCAATTAATCTTTTAGAATATGATAGGCGGTTTCCTGTAGATGTGCAATAAGGTTTTGGAATTTTCAATTTAACCCCGAGTGCAAAACGGGAATCAAAAAATGACGTTTTTTTCTACAAAAGCCTGGTTCCCAGATCTCCTCCTACATTTTCCGCAGTAGCCGAATCATCTTTTGGTAGATGATTGGTGGTGTCCTGTAGATGTGCAATAAGGTTTCGGAATTTTCATTTTCACCCTAGGGGTCAAATGGGGGTCGAAAAATGACGTTTTTATACAAAAAGATCCTGGTCTCAAGAACTTCTCTTACATTTTATGCAGTAGCCTAATCATTTCTTAGAAGATGATTGATGGTGTCCTGTAGATGTGCCATAAGGTTCTGGAATTTTCATTTTCACCCTGGGGGTCAAATGGGGTGGAAAAATGACTTTTTTTAAATACAAAAACACCCTGGTTCCCAGAACTCCACTTACATTTCATGCAGTAGCTTATTCATCTTTTGAAAGATGATTGGTGGTGTCCTGTGGATGTGCAATAAGGTTTCAGAATTTCATTTTCACCCTAGGGGTCAAATGGGGGTCAAAAATGACATTTTTTTTATACAAAAACACCCTGGTTCCCAAACTCCTCTTTTTTTTAAGCCGTAGCCTAATCATCTTTTGAAAGATGATTGTTGGTGTCCTGTGGATGTGCGATAAGGTTTCGGAATTTTCATTTTCACCCTAGGGGTCAAATGGGGGTGGAAAAATGACTTTTTTAATACAAAAACACCCTGGTTCCCAGAACTCCCCTTACATTTTATGCAGTAGCTTATTCATCTTTTGAAAGATGATTGGTGGTGTCCTGTGGATGTGCAATAAGGTTTCGGAATTTTCATTTTCACCCTGAGGTCAAATGGGGGTCAAAAATGACTTCTTTTTTTTTTTATAAAAACACCCTGGTTCCCAGACCCCCCTCCCTTCATTTTATGCAGTAGCCTAATCATCTTTTGAAAGATGATTGGTAGTGTCCTGTGAAAATTTAAAACCGGTATATGGTGACGTCTCTATATGAGTGAAAAAATTCTCGAATGGAACGTAAAACAACAATCAATTAATCAATCAATCATTTTCACACAGGGGGTCAAATGATGAAAAATGACGTTTTGTAATACAAAAAAGCCCTGGTTCACAGAACTACGTTTACATTTCAAACAGTAGCCTAATCATCTTTTGGAAGATAATTGGTGGTGTTCTATAGATGTGCAATAAGGTTTTGGAAATTTCATTTTCACCCTAGGAGTCAAATGGGGGTCGAAAAATTACGTTTTTTAATTAAAAAAAAGCCCTAGTCCCAGCACATTTTATGCAGTATCCTAATCATATTATGGAGGATAATTTTTGGTGTCCTATGGATGTGCAATAAGTTTTCAGAATTTGCATTTTCACCTTGAAGGGCAATTCAGGGTCCAAAAAAGTTTTTTCCTGCATTTTCTACCTACTGTTAGTAACCACGGCAATATTATTCATTGAAATCAAAAACTGATAAACACTTAATTATATACATTATTAAAGGTTGATTGTGTACAAAATCATTGAAATCGAACCAAAACTCTAGGAGGAGTAGCGGTTTGAATGAATTTCACAAAATTATTTTATTTACTAACCATGGCAACAGTTTTTCAAAGAAATCAAAACCCGATAAAGAGAATTATGTATCTTAGCATAATCTACTTGTACTCCATGTATTTATGAAATCCAGGGTTAAAGCTGTAGGAGGAGTAGAGTTTTGAATGAACAAATTTGATTGTAGGATATGTTATGAAATTTTTTCATAAATTAATTTTTTTTTGGACAATTTTCCTTATGTATTCCCATGTAAAACTTTGATCCTCTATATAATGTGGCCCGCCCTACCGATGGAGGTCATGATTTGAACAAACTTGAATTAACACTATGTGATGAATTTTTACACAAGTTAAAACTTTTAGAAGAGGATCATGCCTGGGGGGGGATTTTTTACCTGTCTCAACAGATCAGATGAGGGTTCACTGAGTTGTTTTTTTTTAAATTATTTAATATACCGCTAATTTAATTCATTTTTGCATGATCTGAAGAAAGTCGTGTGTTTTCAAAGGGATTGAGTGTAGAACTTACGTTTTTGAGTGAAAGGAGTTCAATGTGACATTTGTAACAAATGATAAAAAAGATTTCTTGCAGTGTCCTTTTGTAATTAGATGTAGATTAAAGCCATGATTGTGAGTGAACTTTTTTAAACATATCTGGGAGAAATGCTAGTATCATTCTAGCTGCAGTATGAATTACACAGTATAAACATGATAAAATCATAAAAAGTTTATCAATTTAAAAAACTTTTCTTACATTATTCCATATAAATTTTGGCCCAAGTAGATGTCTGAAAGACAGAAAGAAAAGGAGAGAGAAAAAATACCCTAAGTTTATAGCCATATACAAAACTAATGAGAAACCCATGGTCCACAATGCTGACCTGAGTCAATAT